CTACAACATGCAAAATTGCATGATACCACATAGATGCAAGTAAATTTATTTGAAGAAAGAGTGGTTGAGTAATGAATTATATATGCCTTATAAATGACTTTGCAAGTCTATTTTGAACATATTCATATAGAATACAATATATCAATTCAATCCTTGTTGTAATATAATAGTCTTTAAAAGACTTTGATGCAAATTCTTTTGCATTATCTATATGCAATGTTTTGATAGGATAAGTAGAAAAATGTGCTCAAAAACAAATAAGTATAGATATAGGATTAGAAAATACCATATTTTGGATTGATAATAATGAAATATGTGATTTTTTTGCTTGATGCATAAAGAAAGATCAAAAAATAAAGAAATAATCTAAATATTGGATTAATAGGACCACAAATATTACCATGTAACCTTTCAAGAATTGATAGTAACTCTCATCGGAGTTTCTAAATTGAAGGCCAAGTAATCATCTTGCCTTGCATATATGCACGACATAATTCTATAGAATCTACATTTGTAAATCTTAAATTATGTCCAATTATATATAGAATTATCTTCCAAAATAATGTAGACTTTGGATGTCTCAATCATCCATGCCAGAAAGAAACATGACTCTCTATGATAGATGATGCAAAATTAAATATAATGGGAGGCCACATTGCAATCCAATATAAATCATTTGTTGTAGCAAAGGCTTTTTTTATAATTTTATGGTTTTGTGCAAGAACCAAACCTCCCGCCTATCTAAAATTACAGTTAATAGTAATAGATAATTATTGGCATGCATATCTCGATAGCTGATCAGACTCCAAGATCTTAAAGGTGGAAATATTACGTATTTATATTTTATAATACAATCCATAGGCAATTTTATCACAACTGTTTCCTCTTAGAAACAAAACGCATTTACTCCAAACATAGTCATCAAATTTTTAGTTTACAAAGTTGATTTTCTTTTTAGTAAAAAACCATCTATCCTATAGAATAGTATGTGTTGTTGCAAAATCAATGAGCACATCATTTGATTCATCATTAGAGGTTTTATCATTCATATAAGTCTCTAAATCATCAACATCAATTGAGTCCATGGACGCATCCATAGTATAAACTATATGAGCCTCAACTCAAAGTTTTTAATTTTTTTGGAATATTTTAACAAATTATTTTAAAGTATAGTATGCATGTGCCAAATATCCAATCATCCCACATTTATGGCAAGAATTCATCTTTGATTTTTGTTTTTCATTATAATTAATTATAGAATTTTTATTTTTTTATATGGTTAGAAATTGTCATAATTATAACTGACCTGGTGTTTATGAGCATTTTTTCCATCTTTGTATAATATTTCTTTAGACTTTAAAATATTAAATGCATGAGATTTTAGAACCATGGTTCTAATATGATGAGCTTTTACATTATACAAGAGTAGCTCATTTTGATTCTCTACATGAAGTAGATAGGACATGAAATCATAATAACTCTAAAATTTCATATTCCTATATTTTTGTACAAGCACAACACATGCATGAGGAAATATAAAGAGAGTTTTTTCAATCATTTCTTCTTTAAAGATAATTTATCTACATAACTATAGTTGTGAGATAATACAATATATTTCACTGTTAAAAGCATATAAATTTGGAAAATCCAAGATATATAAATGTGTCCAATCATGATGTGTAGGTGGAAAGAAAATGGTCTTTTGATGATGAAATCTGGATTTAAGATTCTTCTAGAGCTTGGTTAGATCTTTCATTTCAAACTATTCATATTCCAATGTAAATACAAGATGACAATGAAAGAGAAGAAGTGCTTTCCAATAGATAGGAAGAAGAATTGAAGTACTTACAATATGAGATTCTTCAAAAAAAATTACATCTAAGAGTTTTTTTACAAATAATTTTTTTTTTGCTATTTTTGTCCACAATAGATAATAATTTCTATTACCAGCCAATGGTAGAAATAGAAGAGCTTAAAAATATTGGAATACAGTAGTGATAGTTGGAAATATAATAGAGGTAGTTAAGGATTTTGAAGCACTCATTATAAATAAATTTGTGTACAAAAAATACAAGTTCAAGTAGAAAAAATTGAGTAAAATACACATTGAAATTTAAAGCCAAATAAAATGATAAAGTTGAAACTTCAAATTAAAAATATTAAAATTTGATAAGATTTTTTTTTATTTCATAAAAATAAGAGTTTGTGGTGGACTGTGGCAAGGTGCAACAATTGGTGGTAGGGTGCAACAATCAGTAGCAAGGTGCGGTAGTTGGTAGCAAGATGTAGTAGTTTGGTAGTAATGTGCGATAGTCAATAGCAAGGTGTAACTCAGCAGCAACATAGTACAATAATACAATATCAGTAAGATAGCACAGCAATAATATAATATAATAGAAACATAGCACATTAGCAACAACAGAGCATAGTAGTTGCAGTATGGCAATAACACAACAACACAACACAACAACAACATAGTTAGGGAAAGAAAAAAAAAATGAAGAAAAAATAAAGGACAAAGTGCACATAAATTTTAAAGAACCAAGACTAATGTATAAAAAAATTGTGTTGATAACATTTTCATATTATATGTCATCCTATTTAAAAATTCATTGAGCATTTGACTATAGAAGATGAAGTTATATTTTATAAGTATTTAAGAAACTTAATATGTTTCACCCTTATAAAAAGAATGTAATTTGAATTTCAATTCAAAAGTACTTAAATTCAATACAAAGTGATCAAAAAAAATCTTCTTAATAATCTCAACCATACATAAACTCCAATTACCTTATTACTTTCATAATTAGGTAATTTTGATTTTTCTTTACAAGTTGTTATCATATTACGTATTGTCTTGCTTGAAAATGCACCGGGCATCTAGTTGTGGAAGGTGAGATTGTATTTCACAAGTATCCAAGAAACCCTAATAGGTTTCACCCATACGAGAAGAATTTAATCTGAATTTTAATTCAAAAGTGCTAAAAACACTCTTCTTAGTAGCCTTAACCATACGTAAATCCCAATTACCTTGTTACTTTCATATTTAAGTAATTTAGATTTTTCTTGTAAGCCCCAATCCTAATAAGTGAGTTTTAACAAGCTATAACATCCAATCCGATCGTCTACTTGATGTAAAATTTTGCATGAAATTGTCAATGTAAGACTTCCATGTGCTCAAGAATTTTTAGGCCAATCCAACTTACAAATTGTGAGAAAACCTCCAAAAATTGCACTGATGTCACTCGGTAGCCAACTTGGAAAGTGAAGCAAAAATTCCTATAGTGATTTCTCCTTTTTCAACTATTAACTTTCACTCAAAATTTGTTTGCAGCTTGATCTTCAAGTCCTTCAATACCATGCCAAATTTCACCTTGATCCAACTAATAGATCTCCAGATATCATAGGAATCCTATCCAACCTCAAACTGCCAACATCCAAAATCCTCTTGTGCTAAAAATTAGATATCTCTAAACCACGCCGTTGGATTATTACAAAATTTTGTATAAACTTAGCACACCTAATAATCCAAACAATATCAAATTTTCAACCATAGATGTTACACCAATTGCACAAACTAGCCAAAATTACTAGCCCTAATTATATTACATAAAACCCAAATCACTAATATAAACCCTGATTTTGAACAACAATTGCTAAGTCCTCAAAAACCCTCCAAAAACAATCCTTATGCCTGTGAAAAGAACTTCAAGCTAGCTCTCAAATCCTATCTTCCAATCTTCAAATGAATCCCTATTTTGCCCTAGGCTGTCATTGTAGTGGCCAGAGGTCTGATTTTGATCCTGTCTCACAAACGGCTGACCCTCAGGTACCAATCTAACTTCAATTCAAAATTGGTGTGTAACTTGATCTTCAAGTCTTCTAATACTATGCCAAATTTTACTTTGATTTAATTAATAGATCTTCAAATATTATAGAAACCGTATCCAACCCCAAACTACCAACTTCTTATGCCTTCTTGTACAAAAATTTAGATATCTCTCAATCGCATTATTAGATTATTACAAAATTTTACATACAATTAGCACACCTAATTAATCAAATATTTTTAAATTTTAAACTATAGATGTGATACCAATTTTACGAACTAGCCAAGAGTAGTAGCCTTAATTGTATTGTATAAATTTCAAGTCACTAATATAAACCTTGACTTTGAACAATAATTGCAAAGTCAAACAAAATCCTACAAAAAATAGGTCTTTAGTCTTTGGAACAAGTTTTAAGTTAGTTCTCCAACTTTATATACTAATCTTCAAATACCTCCATATTTTTTCCTAGGTCGTCATTTTAGTGGCTAGAGGTTTGATTTTGACCGTGTTTCACAAACGATTAATCCCTCAGATATCAATCTAACATATCCTAGGGGTTTTTTAGCCCAACTCTATCTTTAACTTAATTCTAGTATCAACCTTACTAATTATTTACCTCTTCTAAGCTGATTTTATCAATTTATGGTCTTTCTAAGGCAATAAAAGAATCTACAACCTAGAAGGTAAAATTACTAACTAATCTTTAACCTACTAACTATTAAAACAAGAAAATAAACTAATAGGCTTTTATAAAAACCATATTTAAATGTTTTGAATTATTATTGAACCAAGATAATTAGATATTAATTAGAAATTTACTTTTGATTATATTTTCACCATATAGTCGTATTATAATATAACAACATATTGAGAATGTTTTTGAGAGAAATACAAGAGTAGCTAGAAGTAATATGCACACACTTTATCAAAACACACACACACATGAGAGAGTATATTGATATTGTTATCTACCATATACAAAGAAAAGGGGAGAAGATAAATTGTTTCTTCTCATTACATTCCAAACACTATAACTATAGTATTTATTGTAAACTATAGTAAGTATCATGAAGAGCACCGACTACATTTAATGCTCTTATCTCAGTAGAACTCAAATAATCGGGCCCAGATTATCTCTCAATGGCATGGTCATGGAACAAACACGAACCCATGCCAATTCCACGGGATTAGACATTCCAGGGTGACGTACTCTTTGGCAATCAAGTCATTTCCCTCATTCAGTTGATATGGAATTTCCTCGTTCGGCGGCGTCACAGGCGCTTCACCCTGCCAGGCTCGCCTTCGCTGCCAATCCGAATCTACAACTTGTATGAATTGTGCTAAATTGTTTTACCTCACGATTGGGCGTGATCTGTTGGTACGTATATTAACAAAGAGTGTGCTCCCGCTGGAAGAATTGTCTGAGAGTGGATAGTTACCCAAACGTTTTGTATGTGAAGAAGCGGAAGATGAGTGTTGCCATTGTGCGACCGAGTGGAAGCTTCAATGGTGCGGGTGAGCTCGCATTTGGGGGCAGGGAGCCGCTTTGTGGGTAATTGTCAAGCTGGTTTGAGGATCAAGATCGATAAATGCGTTTAGGGTTTTGGGGGATATGGAAGGGATGGTGTAGAGCTCGGATGACAGAGCTGCAACTTTTTCTAATGTATCGGAAATTTTGGGACGTGGGTGTTCGAAGGCTGTGGAGGAGCGTTGGGTTTAGGACCGAAGTGGAGAGGGTGCTGTAGTGAGAACCAATCTCAATTCCAGTTGCAGACTAGGGTTAGGAATGCCAGTATTGTTGCCTTGGACAAGAAGGCTTTGAGTACGAATGGGTGTGGTGTTGGGGGAATGATGTGGCGTGCAACGAAGGTTCGTAACTAATGTGAGCTAATGGTTCTTCATTAAAGAATAATGATGTGAGTACGTTACAATGACAAGTTGTGTTTTTTTGGGGCTGCGTTTTAGTGTCCTGTCGTCAGTGAATTCTTTCAAAATTGATGCTGATCAATTATATGCTTGCTCGACAGACAGGATCAAGGAAGGTCCATACTGATGCGTTTATTTGGAGAAAACGTGAGCGAGGTTCGCTCTCTTGTAACCAAGTCATAGAATCCCAAGTTGTACCTTTTTACACAGTCCAGTTATGAGTCATTTTGTGCTCCTTCCACTATTCGTCTCCTTCACACATTTATCTATCTTTTTGGAAGCGAAGGAACACTCTCCTCGCACGTCATCAGAGTCACGTCTAATGATAGAAACTTCCTTTTCAATGTGTCGATTGTGGGGGTTGCGAAGAATTATCTTTTTTGCATTGGGGATAGATCCAGAATAGGGAAAAGGTGACCATGTTTCTTGTTGAGCCTCATTATCCAAACTCGGGTCAACATCTACTTAGCTATTCACCCTATTTTTTGACTTGTACAACGTCTGTGTGCTTCTTCTTGCAAATGTGCAGCATTGAGTTTTGATTCAATGGGAAAAATACACTTCAGACAAATAGAGTTTTTGGACTATTTTCCAGAATTCAAAGGAGCTGATGGGAGAATCTTTAGCCAGTGCAGTCTGATTTGGAAAGAGTGAGAACAGAAAAGCCTTGAAACAACAATAGGATTGTGTCCTTCACCTAAGATCATAGTTTGACTTGATTGAGTGTGAAGTAAGAATTTCAGACTCCACGTGTGGGGAGGCTTCAAGAAGGCCTTAAGTACCTGCTTACACTTAGATTTCTATAACCATTTCTACATGAGGTATGTGCAATTTTAATATCATTTTAGTTCTTTTTAACTTCTACGGAATTGAAAGGTAACATAGAGTATATCTCATCATTGCATTTTCTATTTAGCATGTTATACATTGTAAAGTAGCATATTTTCATGGACAATGTGCATTAAAACTTGAATATCATATGCAGAATTTAACTAATTGTTTTTGAGTACTACATACATTATACATTAGAATTGCACCAAATGATTTGATTTTGCAATCATTTTTTTTAAAACATAGTGTATTTATTTCAAATTCCTTGTAGATAGAAGTAAAGAGGTTTCTTTTGTAACTATATATATAAGGAAATAACTTAAATAATTAGGTTTTATATGAAAAAATATTAATTTTATAAAATATATATATATATATATATATATATATTTATAAATTAATATTAAAAAAATATTAAATTTATTTAACTTATTTAATTATATAAGTTTATTTTTATTTTATCTAAATAATTAAAATATATAAAATATATATAAAAAAATATTACTTAATATATTATATACAATAAAATTCTTGTAATATAAATATTTGTTATAGACATATGTTTATTGTAGTTATTATTTATATAATATAAATAAGTAAAAATAGATTAATTTCATGATATCTTTTAGAAAAGTTTCTTAAAAACTTTATAGATATTATTTTGATTTTACATGTATTTGTAGTTGATTGATAAGTAAAAAACTTGGTCAATAAGTTAACTATGAGCTACATGTATTATTGGCTTGTGGAATAAGATATTTATGTGGCATTCATATCACAAATTTATCTTACAAGTTAAAATACGTGTTATACAAAGTTAACACATTTAGGAGGTCTTACAAAATGTTGTCATATAGCTCCTAAATAGATAGTATAAATAGAAGTAAGAGTGAAGCCTTCCTCATTCTTGTCAATTCTTTTCTTGCTTCTAATCTAGTTTTGAATGACTTTAATTTTCTTGTCTTTTGGCAAAAGCTATTCTAGTTTCTTTTCAAAATACATACTTCTTTATTTTTACTTTGTTATATTTTTTTAAGAAATTCTTAGTTATTTATTAGTTTTTATCAAGTTCTTGTCCTTCACAACACCTTGTTTAAAATATTTTTTAGTTGCAATACATATAATATAATTTTAGTATAAAAATTTATTTTTAATCTATATTTTAAATTTGATTACATATTTTTTTAAAACATATTCAACCATAAATTATTAAAAAATAATCTATTCATTTAAATATAATGATTTTTAATTTTTTACTATTATATTTATTGATATATACATGCATAATAGGTATATATACATTTAATAATAAATATATGTAATTTTTAAGCTTTAATAAGTAATTTATTCCACTTTTAATTTATATGCAAATTCTTGGCTTCCAAAACCTCTTCACTTTATATAAAATATCCAAATTGTAGCAAAATTCCTCAAAATATATTTTTCTCTAAAAGGATTTCTTTTTTTGAACTTTAGAAATTCATATCTTTTGATCCGAAAATTCAATTTCTTTCAAATTTTCATATAATATAGCTATTATCTTTAAACTTTAATATAAAAAAAATTAACCATAATATTCCTATTTATCTTTTGACATCTTAGAAATTCTTGTAGATGCTCTAAATCCTAACTTACAAGCACCTAAGAACTATTTTCTTCATATTTCAAAAATCCAAAATTTAAATATCACAAAATTTATGCATGAAGTTTCTTTTTTAAAATATATATCAAGTTATTTTTGACAATAGCCATTTCAGTTTCTTTTTTAATATATATATATCAAAAGTCATGGTTGAAAAGAAAAAAACATAAGATAGTAGATAAGAAGGTGAAACTTGTTCTTAAACACTTGCTAGAAGATTCTAAAGAACAAATAGAAAAAGCATAAAAAAAAGAGTTGAAGGGATCTAAGGAATATTAGGCACAAGTTCACTGAAAAGACTTTTGAGGAATTGAAGATTCATTTTGATGGTTCTTTATTGCCAAAAAAAATTATTCACTTCAAAGAAATGTTAGCAAAAGAAAGTAGATCATTTGCCTTTGAATCTCATAAAATTAGGTGTGTAGATCCAAATATTATAATGCTTATGGTTATTTTTATTGTACCACATATATCTTAAAATTTAAGGTCAATTCTAGTATCAAGGGCACATTTACCAAGCTTAGTAGAATTAGTGAAAGAAAAGATGAAGATGAAGATTTTTGAACCCTCTTTTATACCATATTTTAGTTAATGGTTTACAGTTCCTAAGAAAAATAAATCATTATAATTTATTTAAAATATGTAGCTAATGAATGTGGTAACTATCAAAAATATAGGAATTGGATTAATAATGTATGAATTTGTTAAAACATTTAAAGAAAGGACAATCTATTCAATGAGTGATTTATATTTGGACTATGATCAATTTCAACTTGCAGAAGGGAATAGAAATATGACAACGATGAAAACACCATTTGGACTATTTAAAATGTATACTCTTCCTGAAGATGCAATTAACTCAATTGCATATATGATGAAAGGGATGAATAAGGTGTTGAGGGATTTTATTCTTAAAAATATTATACCTTTTTTAGATGATGTTCCTATTAAGGGGTGCAAAAAAAAAAGACAAGGACAAGACTTTAGATAAGAAGAGGTGTTGTAAGTATATTATTGATCATATACAAGACTGTACAAAAATATTGACTTAACTTGAGGAAGTTCATCTCACATTATTGGATACAAAATCTACTTTTAGAGTATAAGTGTCAAAGACAAGAATTCGATGAAAAAGAAATTCAGACAAGTGAGCCTTCACTCAAAGAAAGGTAACAAAATATAAATAAACAAATATATATATTGAAAGAGAAATTGGAATGGCTATTGACAAAAGACAAGAAAACTAGAGACCCTTGAAACTAGACTGGAAGTAAGAAAGGAGTTGACAAGAGTGAAGAAGGCTTCACTCTTGTCTCTATATATACTATCTAACTAGGAGCTACATGGCGACGTTCTATAGGAACTCCAATATGTGTTGACTTTATAGGACACATGCTTTGACTTACAAGGCAAGTTTTTCTACGTGTGGGCCACATAGTTAGCTTGATCTTCAAGCTAACAACTTGTGTGGCATATGGCCAACTTGTTGACCACGTTTCTAATCCAAAAAGTCAATTAAAGATACCTATGGAGTCAAGGCAACGTCTATAAAGCTTCTAGGAAGCTTCCATATTAAATACTATAGAATTAACTTACTTTTATCTATTTTTACTTACTTCCACCTATTTGTATATGTAATTACTAGCTTACATGAGTATGTCCATGACATTACCCTCCTTTCTAGGGACGAGTTCTACGAGGAGCGATCATCATATGTTGAGAAAATCTATGATGCGACAAATTATATTCGCTACATACTCTGATCTTTGTTCTCTTCGAAGATGATTGATAGGGCCTCTCAATCATTCGTAGTGTCCCATACCAGGGCGTGAAAACCACCCACTTATTTTATCATTATTGAGGCCTTCATAACTTCTTTCGAATAGAACATTTGGAAGACCATCAAGAGTTGTTCCTACCTCTAGCAAAATCACCAAACATCGAGAGTTCCTTTCCAAATCATGATACCAAATACGTTGTATCTTGCCATCTATTCAAGGACGAACATGTTGTTCTTGAAGATCTTTATCTCGATTGCGTCGTCTTGAAGGTTGTGACAATCGTAATGTCTCGTCCGGTAGGTCAGTAAATAAAGGTTCTTGAGTCAAATTTGCTAGTTGTTGGTTCTCTATCTCTTGAGCGTCACAACTACAAAGAAGCTACAAACAAGGATTGAAAGTAGAATGTTATCTTGCCTAGATATTGTTTCTTTTATAAAAAAGGTTTTCATCTTGATTTTGATGGATGTCATTGATGAAAAGCCTCCACCACCTTTGCTGCATTTACAAGCTTCTTTATTGGCTCCCATGTGCATTCACTAATATCATATCCACGCCAATGGACAAGATATTCTAATTTATTTCGACGCTGCCTTGAATCTAAGACTTCTTCTACTTCAAACTCTTCATTATTGTCCACTTCTATAGTAAGAGGTGGAGCTTGTCATCTTCTTGGTATGTCCACTGTCTTGTATGGTTTGTCACGGACACAGAATACAAACTTGATATCTACCAAGAAGTTCAAGAAGAACTGGCAAGAACTAGATTAATCAGATGAATACAAGAACAACACCAGAGAGGTGAGCTAAAGCTCCAAGAGATGTGTTGTCGAGACTGAAGAACTCTTCAGCCTCGATTCCAATATATACTCCTATTTAGGAAGCTTCTCAAGCAACTTCTATCAACTAGGAAGCTTCTAGAAGGTTCCAGAGACTTGCTTCTAGAAGGTTCTAGAAACTTATCTCTAGAAGGTTCTAAGGACTATGTCCCTAATATCTTCTACCAACTAAGAAGCTTCTAGAAGGTTCCAGAGACTTGTTTCTAGAAGGTTCTAGAAGCTTGTCTCAAGAAGGTTCTAGAAACTTGTCTCTAGAAGGTTCTAAGGACTATGTCCCTAACATCACCCCCTCCTTTAGCTTTGAGGTCTCTGAGAAGCAATGTTGTTGTCAATCAGTACCAACGCAAGAAAATGAAGATCTGTCGCATAACGTCTGCTATGAACTCCAACTGTTGTTCACGAGGTAAGTGGTTCATCGGCCCTTGAAGCCAATGGTAGTGGCCCACTCCTTCAACTTCTGATCAAGCATGAACTTCCGTGTCTTCATTGTGAAATTGTCCTACAAAATATGCCTTCTGGTTGACCATTGTAAGCAGGCTCGAACTTAAATACAATCACCAATGATCGGTTACTTGGTATCCTCCGTCGTCATCGTGGTGCAGGTGGTTCTTCATCTCAGGGTCGCCTTCGTGAATTAGTTGGTTGAGATAATCTGACTAGCATAGTATCTATCTCTTGGCTATCCATATCAGAAGACCAAACTATGGCTATTGAAAAAATTCTATTTTATCTTGGAGAAAATAACTACATCAACTACAAATTTTGGTGGTGCTCTCCTCCTTTCTTATATTCTTGGGTGAGCAAGCTTCAGAAAGAAGCTATTGTCGAACCGGCTTAGGTTTATGAGGATGTTGTTGATGAAACTCTTGTACCTTTTGCGGCGCATTGGTGAGATTTTCAACTGGCT